TGGAGAATGGTCCGGCAATGACCTCAGCCAGGTAAAATTGCTGGTTTTTTTCCATCTCTGACAATCTACAAACATTTTGAAAATTATTTGGGTGAGAAAACAATTAAACCTCTACATCTCTACCCGAAACCAGTATTACAGGCACTGCAGCAGCCCTCATTAGAAAATAGTTACTACAACATTAGAAAATGAAGTTGATTCTATTTCACCGACTTCATATTACTCCTCTAAAACAAAGAAGACAAAGGTGTTTAAGATATATTTGAAACTTTGTTCACATGCTATTCATAAACCAATGTTCACTATAATTCCCCTCACCAAATTATTTCTTTAGCATTATTTACCTTGTCCATCTGAAGGTTTTTTAGTTGTTGTTGCCACAGGAGGACAGTTTCTAATCGGCAAATCCAAATATTGATGTTGCCCACCAACACAGATTTTCCTACTCCCCTAATCAGTATACAGAGAGTAGAACTCAGGTCCTGCAGAAGATCTTTGATTAATCGCGGGTTATATTGGTCTTCCATGACTGGAAAACAAAGCAAACCAAATATAATTTTTGTTAAGCGAGTTAACCAAGCAAATAGAGTTAGCTCAAGCTAATCAACACTTTTTAAAGAAGAATTAATTACAACTTAACTGTTTGTGTGCAAATAGCTGCCCATATTCCTAACATGATATTCATTAATGCTGTTTCATAAGCGCCAGACCAGTAAGTAACAATTTCACAGGCACATCCAATGTAACATTTCATGCTATGCATTTAATAAACTTAATGCTGAACAACTAGTTATAAATCCAATTTCTTCTGTTCAAAGTTGATAGTAATACATCTCTACTTAGTGTGGTTACCAGAATTTTTTTTAAACATATAAACAATAAAGAAAAGCAATTATGTACTTCAAATCTCAGTACATCACGCAAACTAAAAGACAAACACGTTACTCATCTGAAAGCTTCCACATACTCATAAAGAGTATAATTTAATAGTAACCAATTGTTTCTGAATATACTCTAATTGTCATTTAACTTCACCAATCTGTTTCAACAGACATGATTTGATAATCGAGAGAAAACAACTTATTGCAACTGTGGGATGGGGAGTATGAAACCTTTCAGTAATTAAATTTGCTATTGCTTTGTCTTACAATGTAAAAACAGTAATGAAGCTAATAAAAAAAATAAAATCAACTGATAGCTCAGTCACCACAATTAAGTCTAAACAAGCAGATTACAAAACCTTAGGTCTTACCCTTCTGCACAATTTTGTCCAAAATGCTAAAGTAGTTTTTCTGTGCTGCGCCACTCAGTGAAGTTAACTGGGACTTTGCAATTAACTGCAAAAGCTAGAACAAAGAATTAAAAACTGGAATAATTACAGAAGTAAAGATGGTTTAATATACACAATTTCAGTACAAAAGCCTAGAGCATTGTAACTATATTTCATGAAAACATAACTACAGAGTTCAGAAAATGAAGCAAGACAAACGTGAAAAGCTTTAGGCAGTCCCACTGGTATCCCATGAACAACTCATGAAGAGATGTACATTTTCAAAACACTATATAAATACTAGTGTTTATTTCCAATAGAGCACACGATATATAGTCTTTATAAGCTGTAATGAAACAATGCAGGGAGTCTGTTTTAGAAGCTCAAATAGAAATGTGGTCTTTGATGCGGTTAGGTCCTGAATCCCCCAACAGATTTTGTAGCTGGGAACATCACTCTGAACTGGCACCCACTACCCAACTTCCTCTTTCTCAGGGAGAGTATCATACTGGTACAACTGAAATGTGATGGACTTACTGCACTACTTCCTGCTCATGAAGGGGAAATGCTGTATCTTACCTAAATTGTTAGAAAAAAAAATAATCTGTATTACTCTCACAGCCAGGTCCCTGGTAGAAGAAACCATAGTAATCTAATAATGAGCAAGCATACATACTGTACCAGTAACATTTCCTTAACTTTTCCTTCCGACTAACAGATCTCCTAACTGTCCCTAACTGTCCACACATTTCTCTCTGGAACCACTATGTGTGATGAGAACAGTACGAATTGTCCAGGGAAACGTAACCAGAATAGCTGAAGTTCTCACTGCACATTAATGCAAAGCTTTAGCTACTAGCAGCAGCCCTTGCTCCATTCATACTCCTTTGCTTTTACATACTAGATTCAGTTTTGTAGCTGATAAAGAGCATTGCCTCTTCAACAAAAAAAAATGGTCTCTTAGAATGAAACAAGAAAGACTTCGATGTTATGACAGCATTGCAATGTTTAGAAGTGCAACACTGAGCTTTACAATTGCGATTCATAATGCTGAGTTTGGAACAAGTGCTCTCAATACAGCAGAAAGGGAAGGCAGGGAGCAGAAACCAGCATCCCCTACAGAGCACTCTAAATACCAACCTGCAGAGCCACACTTTATAGGACAGCATCAACAACTGGCACAGAGGGTGAACAAAGACTAAGCCTGCCATAAGTTATTTTGTATCTTCATTTCTAAAACACTGATTTAACACTGCACTCAACATTAATTTTCCTTTGGAGGAAGAGAGAATACACCTGTTCTCTCCCTGATTTAATAATGTTCCTTCTGGCTTCACTGCATGATCCCTGACAAAACATTATGTGCTATGAAAGGAGGAAATAATCCTCCTGATGTATTTAAATACAAGCAATCTATTTATACAGTTTTTGAGCCTAGATATCAGGAACTCTTTTTCTTGGCATCTTCAAAGCCTTTCAGTTTGAGGAACAATTTAGAGCACACCTAGAGGTCTCCGGCAGTTTGCCAATTCAAGCAAGTATGTACATTTCTCTTGATTAATTTAAAAAAAATCAGTTCTGTCACTCTGACTAACAATCAAATAAGAGAAGCAAACTCCACTTGGCTGATTTTAATGGAGATTCCAATTTCAGTGAAAGTTAATATGTAAGGATTAAGACAATTTTAGCAGGTGCACAAGTATAAGGATCTGACACGAGTTGAGTCTTACTGATACGTGCATAGCCATGGCTTACTAGAGATTATAACTTGAATGGATCAATTCCTTATTCAAATGAAAGCATTTAGAAAAAAGACTATACATATCAAGCTCAATGTATCTCATATTTAACAGCCAATAAATTGTTATTATACTACAGCACAAACAAGCACGAGAAAAACACCTCAACCTACCTCCTCACCCTCCTGCCCACGCTAAAAGGGTCTTGGGCAGACATCTATGAAATTTTAGTAGTTTAATGATTAGGAGGATTTTAGTTAGTTGGAGAATCAAAAAATCATCTTGGTGGTCTGGGATCAAAGAAGAGTAGGGCTTAGTATTTTTTTATTTTTTTAAAAAAGTCTTGATTTATATCTTGTATCTTAAATGCAACAAGCAGAACAACATATATAAAAGTAATCATCATTGTGTTCATGCGTATCTAGGAGTAATTCTTAGAGGAGAAATAGGAACTGCTGCACTGCATTATATGAGCTCTACACAAAACATCACCATTAGAAGCTTCAGGGAAGTAAATGAGAACTCGTATAAAGCAGATAGACATGGGATGACCTGCTTCTTCCGTTAGGTGCCAGTTGCACTGAGCTGCACACAGCTGACTGGCTTAAAACTTGCTAGAGCAAATAAAACAAATATCTGTTGCAACTTCACATATTACTGACATCCACACAGATGTTTTAATTTATTAGATACAACACCACAAGTGTTACTCAAGTCTGTATAGCTACAGAATGAGGAGCAGCTGTCATTCGTATTGATCATGTTTATTAGCAGCTCAGTAAATTTTAAGGTCTTAGATGTACAGTTTCTGTACCTGCTGCTAAGTCAGTTTGCCTCCATCACCTCAGAGGAATGGATACAGAGATTTAATTAAGTTTTTGTAATTGTAAAACAATTCTAATATTTGAAAAAATTTCAAATACATTCTAAAATGTTAAAAGGATTTTGGAAGTCTGACTGCTCAGGGTCTACCATAACTCTAGTAACAGTTTGCATCACAAAGCCAAATTTCTGAATTTTAAAGTATTGCCCCTTCCTCAACAATCCTAAGCCTGGCTAACTAAACCTGTCATTGTATATTTGATTAAAAGAAGGGAAACTGGTTAATGTGCTTATGCTAGACCCTGCACTTTGTTACAATCAACTGTTTTGAGCAACACAGCTTTTAGGCACTGCAGCATTCAAAAAAAAACACATAAAAATATAGTTCTGGATTCATTCTACCTGTTTACCATTCAAGTGAGGCACTCAAGGTAGACCTCATTTATAACACAATCCATCTTTTTTAGGTGCTTTTTTTCCCTCCCTATTGTTCAAGGCTGAAAAATAGGGGAAAGATCAAGGTTCTTGTTTCTGCTCCCAAAACAGCATTAAAAAGCAATGTTCTAAGCCATGATGTGTACATATACCAAAAAATCTGCGAGGGGAATAAAAACAGGCAAGAACCCTAAGCACTAGCCTGGAAGCAAATCCTTTCTGCTTTGTTTCCTTTGGTCCCACATCTCTTGTTTTTCTGGAAGCATAATACATTGTCTCAGCTTCACAAGGATGGGTAGAACATGTTCTTTCTCCAAATATACCACAGCCTAGTGGTAAGGTTGTTCTCCTGGTATGTTTATTTAATTTTGATTTGTGTCTCTTCAAGCTCTGGACACATTACAACGACCACATTATTTGTGAACCGCCTCACCACTGAACTGAACTCTAGTACCAGTATGTCTCACATTTTGAGCTTCTCTAGGATTTGGGACAAGCACTTTACTACCTCAAGTTAGGTAACAAAAAAAATTTGGGACTAGAGAGGGTTCACTACCCAGAGTGATGAACAATGACTAAAACTACCATCAGTATTTCCTTGTAAATACATAGGACACCAGCCATCACCATCCTCCTCAAGCTACAGGCTTTCATAGAACAACAGAACAAGTTTTCACCAAAGAAAAATTGCTCATTTGTGCAGTATAAATTACATACAAGCGGAATATTTATACAGTCACAAATCATCAGCTGTTCAGAGCAGTATTATTTCTTTTGTACACACAGGCACATTAGCAAGTGCATTTTTAAAATACGCATAGAAAATAACGACCTTACTTTGACCACGTAATTGAACCTTCTGATGTCCTGAATGGCACTTGAAAAGTCTAAGCGGTTAAAAGCTTCTCCCAAAGTGCAATAGCCATGTCTCTGAGAAGAGGAATAAAACCACTTTAAACACAAAGATAAAATTGAGGAAAATATTTGGAAAAGCACTCTACCGTGCAACTGATACTTGTGTATACCATGCTCCCTGAATATATAATGTGTCTTAACTGAAGATTTATATAATTTCTTGTAGAACAAATGAAACCAGATATGCTATTTGGAACTAACAGCTACATAGGCAATATTATTCAACAGCAAGGACTTTAAATCCACACTAATCAAGCAATCTGTAATCACTGGTATCTGAGTGTCCTGGGAGTCTGCTCCACTATTGCCTGACCACAATGCCGGTACTCTCTCATGGCTATCACGCTGCTTATTTGCCTCAGCACAAGGTAGAGCTTGTTTGGACAGCGGTCTGAGCTTATAACCAAAAACGTTAACTGAGTTTATGTTCACATTTGAGAGTAAGAACACAGCTCCTTGCTCCTGGAATTGGAAGAGCAAATGGCCTCAACATCTAGAATTTATTTTCTGGATGCTAAAAGTTCAGGCATAATTTTTCTTAGGTACCAAGAGCAAGAGAAATTGCATTTTCTTTTGGTGCTTCCGCACAAGTGTCTTAAGGTGAAAATGGGAGTTTCAGAGGCTGTTGTGGAACTACTTAAGGTGGCAGTAGCAGCCTGAAATGACATGGGATCACATAAGCTGAGTAAATTTAGAGCCATAAAGCCACTCAGGATCCTTGGAGCAAATATAACGAGGTCAGAAAAAGCCTACAACTGGTGGAAGAGACACATGCAGAGCAGTGTGCTAATATGGCTTATCAGCCCAGGGAATAGGAGGGGATATATAATTATTTGAAGTTCATTCCTTCCTCAGTGAATTATATGATGGTGAAAAGATGGCAGTACAACTTAACATTCCTTTTTGCAACCCAGTGAAAGCTTACCCTGGATGTACCACAGCTGGACAGGAGCCAGTTAACTGTTCACTGCAGAGTGGTGGTAATTACTGCCTATCATTTAATGACTAAATTCAGGATGTTATTGCTTGCTCATGCAGTTAATATACCTGAGATCCAAGCCTGCTGCATACTTCAGAATATACACAATGTGGTTAGTGTACTTGTTTTGACTGAGGTAATTTTCTTTCTAGTAGCTTGTATGGGGTTATGCTTTGGATTTGTGCTAGAAACAGTATTGATAATGCAGGGATATTTTCATTATTGCTGAGCAGTGCTTACACAGAGTCAAGGCCTTTTCTGCTTCTCACCCCACCAGTGAGTAGGCTGGGGGTGCACAAGAAGTTGGGAGGGGACACAGCTGGGACAGCTGGCCCCAACTGACCAAAGGGATATCCCATACCATATGTCAACACACTCAACATATAAAGCTGGGGGAAGGAGGAGGAAGGGAGGGATGTTTGGAGCTACAGCATTTGTCTTCCCCAGTAACTGTTATTCCTGATGGAACCCTGTTGTCCCGGAGATGGCTGAACACCTGCCAATGGGAAGTAGTGAATGAGTTTCTCATTTCATTTTGCTTGCATGTGTAGTTTTTGCTTTACCTATTAAACTGTCTTTATCTCAGCCCATGAGGTTTCTCAGTTTTACTCTTCTGATTCTCTCTCCCATCCCCCTAAGACAGGGGAGTTAGTGAGCTGCTGGATGGGGCTTATAGCCAGCTGGGGTCAAACCAGAACAGCTGACTAACAGCAGTGAATCAACACTTGCAGACAACAAAACTTTCGTTGACATATTGTTGTTAAATATTTGTGGCTGTTCTCCGGCTAAACAGTTATCAGAAGGCCACACTTAAATACTTTGACACGAGAACTCTCTTGAACAGCTGGAAGCACATTTCTATGTGGCTTCAGTTGTACCTTTCCCAATGTACTATCAGGATAAAATTACTCAAAGAGCATCTCCTACTTCATTTCAGACATACACTTGCACTTTTTTTTGCTTTTATTTGTTTTCAGTGCTTTCCTACAGCACGGTTCACAGGCTTCTTATCAAGACCTTCCTACTCTTGTTATTTTGCCCTAAAAATTAGTCTCCATTTTGGAAAAAAAAAGTTTCTAGTTGCAAGACTTAGCCATTTCAAACTCAAGTAAAATTACACAACCCGTAAGGAGAATTAGAACCTCTGTAAGTTGTGTTTTAGATTAACTTAAATTGTTGCTCTGAGTTTTTGTTCAAGTGTACTTATTCCTTGCTAATTTTTCATTCTGCTACTTTCAACTTTGAATTTATACAAGGAATTACTTGAAAAAGACCAGTGATTAATTCTAACCGTCCTTGGGATTTTTGTTGTTTTGGGTTTTTTTTGTTGTGTTTGGTTTTGTTTGTTTGGGTTTTTTTGGATTGTTGGGTTTGTTTTTTTTTTTTAAACAGGAAAGATGAATGGTCAATTATTAGAAGACAGCAGCAGCGACAAGAATAAGCTAAATGGTATACCAACATACTTTGTACACACTCTGAAAGGACACGAAACCCAAGCAAATAGTCAGACATCAGTCATGCACCAACTTCTGCAAAAGTAGAACTGAAGTTTTACTTACTTTTATTAAAATTTACATCAGTATTCCAAAATATCAAGTAGCTGCCTGCAGACACCTTCTTTGGAGACACTACTCTGATTTTACAAATACTTTCCATTGTAGTTCAAAGACACACCATAAAGGTAGTGTATATTGAGATGGACTCGGAGAAGTAGTGGAGAACTATTATGTCCATTCTTGCAAGTTTCTACATCTCTGCCACAACAACCCACATACGTCATTTTGCTTGCTGCCTTTGCCTCACCATGTGCAGATGTAATGTTACCAATGAAGAGAGAGGTGAATATAGCCCCTAAGACCACACAGCACAAATAGTTTTTTTTAAATATACTAATTGTCAATTAAGCAGCACAAAGATTATAGGAATTGACCCACAGTATGCAAGACTTACCTCCCTGGTGCTTTCTTTATGAACATAAATCCACTTTTCACGATAAAAACCTAAAATAAAAACAAAATGTAAGCATTTTTAGGCTTCCCCTTTAGGGAATGTCTTCTAGAAAGAAACTGAACAAAACAGACCATTCTCAATAAAATGCTTCACAAGATAGGAGAGATGGTAGAACAGTTTTAATGAAGGAAGTTTATAAAGGCTAGAAAAGATGACTACAAATTTTCAGAAGTTATATGCTTCAATGAAATAAAGGAAGAGTGAGATAATTTTATAAACAAAACATAACAGTTGGCACACACCTGGCAGATGTAGCACAAGTTTTGTTGACTGTGTATCAACAGCAGTCAATTTCTCCTACAGAACCGCTGATCTTTCTTAATCTAACACGCTCCTTGGTGTTTAACATAGGAAAGTAAAGAAATGAGCAACCTTTTCATTCCTCAACACTCTACCCCTCTAATGTATTCTTTCCCATAAAGGTGCCTGCTCTGCATGCACTTGGTTCAACTATTTGCAGGATGCTGCAGGGAAGTCAACTACACAAGTCTGATAAAGGCAATTAGGCAGCCCTTAAGCTTTCAGAAGTCTGGTAAGTTGATAAATGAAAGTATGCTTTTATGTGTAGCCACTTGAATCTTTTGACATGCTTTATGCTCAATTTCAGGAATATACAAATAATGGAAATCATTTCAAGATCAGAGTTAGAAACACCAAAAAGTTGCTTTATCAACTTACTTTTCACATCTACTCTACTTCAGCAAGTTTACTTGCTGACATACACATATTTGCAGTCTAAAGTACAGATGATCTTTTAAAAATTAGACCTGATAAGAATGGCTTTGATATTTTTATTTTAAAAAGGGGACTTTTTTCCCCAAGAAATTCAATACTGATAAAGTCTTTACCAAGAACTACAGATATTGTGACAAAATATATTTATTTATGATCTGATTCTAGAGCTGTATCACTAATCAGAATTTGAATTAAGCAAAAAATAAGACACCTGCTTTAGTAAGCAGAAGCTTCCATAAGCATCTAGAAGAGTTTAATTTAAAACCAGTCCACAGAACAAAACAAAGACATTTATTATTCAGGAATTACTGTTCTTAAGTGAATTGCCTTTGGATCTTTAGGAAAAAAAATAATCGCACAACAGATGATTAATGCAACAGTTCAATTAAAATGTATCACTTCTGACACCAAAATTTGTTGCCAATACAGAAGTAAACATAACTCAGAAGTGTACTCTATAGATGAATATAAATGAATGGCTATTATAATATTCACTGAACCTACAAGAGTCTTCCAAAATAAATGAAAACAAAAACAAAAAACCCAAACAAAAAAACCCCAAAAAACAGCCTTACACTGCGAATCTGTGTTATTCCTAAAATGATCTTTTTTCCTTTTCTTGGCTGCAAACTCACAATCTTCAGAACTGTATATTTCTTCATCTTCATCATCACCAGTTAAGATGCTGAAATAAACACATCTAATTAGAACAGCAGTGATTAAATATTTAAGATGCATACAGCTTGTAATTCTCTGCATTAAAGTCTGCCAGCTGTAAAAAAAAAATTAAATTATGTTCTTCTACCTGATGGTCTATAGCAACATGCATCTCAAGAGAGAAGCTGTCTTGCTCTTTTCTTCCCTGTGAGGTTCAATTTTATGTCAAAGTGATTAAATATACAGAAGCATCTTCCTAATATAGGTATCTTGTAAGTCATTACTGACATCTAGGAAGGACTAATCAGATGACAGTACTAGCTGGACAACTGTCTGCCTGCAAAGCTTTAGTGTACAGAAGTTCATTATTTGAAATGGACCTATCCCTTGAAAAGCCATGCTCACAGGTAAAAGTCAATGCAAAATTACTGCACATCCTCGCATAGACAGAACACCAGCATAGACATCTCCTACTGCTGTCAGCTTTGGGGCAAAGAAAGTCTCTTTTAATAAATGCCCAATTCACAACACCATATGTAATTTTGGTAAAACAGCATTGTGACACCTATGATTTGTAGGGCATCAAGAACCATGTGGTCTATCCACCTTTCTCCCAGAGAGAATTAACTACACCTGTATCACTTCTGACAGTTAACTATGTAAACTAACACTGAGGACTATACTGAATAATTATACACACACACACATATAGTGTCTATAGAGATAGTGTGAGTATATATACATATAAAATGTATAAACATATATAAAGAAACTATTAAAAAAATTCTATTTTATAAACCGACCTTTAAAAAATTCATATACATGACAAAACCTCCTGTGCTACATAAAGTCTACACAGTTGCATAAGGTTTTGCTTTCCATTCCTGCAGATAATTTTAAAGAACAGCAATACAGATAACAACTGGTGTTCATTTTTTCAGCACAGAGAAGGAAGATACTTCAGATGAAGGCCACAGTCTTGCACAGACAAGCAGAATAACTAAGCATATGTGGTAGTAAAACTTAGCTGTAGGACTATTTTCTTTCCCTGTTATTATTCTTTAACAAGAAAGCTGTATACAAAATCCTTCCCATTCATTACTATTTTTTAATGTGAATTTGCCAGATTACTCTATTAATGTCAGTTTGAACTTCAAACTGCACCAGCAACAGCTGAACATTGTAAAACTGAGGGACACCAGTTAATTAAAAAATAACCTGTACCTGGGCAACAAGTTGCAAAGGATCCAATTATATTAGTTCATTGCTACTAGTTTATACAGTTAAAATTTTCAGGCTTGAACCACCTGGTGAGGAGGATAACTAAACACCGTAAAAAAAAACTTTGTGGTTTTTAATTGCTCTAATCAGTAAATGCTAGTTCAGCCTAAAGATACACAAGTTGAGAAGACTCAAAGTTGTTTTCATCTTGGATTTAAATCCTGAAAAAAGCTAACTTACGTGTGCCTTCAGACAGAGTTCAATCCATGCCTTAGTTCATGTCTTACCATGAGCAGCAAATAAAGACCCAACAACTTCAATATTCTATGCAACAGTGCCAAATACCAGATCTGGTCAAACAGCAAAGGAGTTTGGAGAAAAAGAACTGACAACTGACAGAAGCAGAACACCAGCACTGACACCTTACTTGATGTAACATTGTTTTTGTTCCCCAAAGTTATCATAAAGAAAGTACCTTTTTAATAATTAATTTAACTGTGTTTTAGCATATTGATTGCATTGCCACAACACGTGAGAACGTATTGCAGAATCAGAAAACATGCTGCAGATTCAGAGCCCAAAGCTCCCAGACCTCACTTTATCATCCTAACAGACACCAGGCTAGAGAGATACGGCCTGATATACCCTGCAGTACAATTCAGGCAGAGCAGAAACATCCCGTTCCCACTGACCCAGTGCAATGGGGAGAGGACGGGAGGCAGCATTTCCAAGGCCAGCTTTAGAAAAGGAAGGTTAATCTGGCAGGATTCCACCTTTTGTTCCTGGAGAGGAAGTGTCCCTAGAAGGCAATTTAGATCAGTAAGGTACCTGAAGTGATTTAAAGCTCACCTCAGCCTCTCCATTAATATACACTTCCTCAAGCATCAGATAAACAAGCAAGGCAGCTCAAGGACAGTCAATTATTACAAGGAACTGTGAATACGAAGAGGGTCATTTCAAGCACCTTTGTCTGACATTCAGATTTGCCTGTGACATTCCTGGAATTCTTCATGTCACTTTAGAGACACGACAAATTTGACTGTTATCTCTGAGGTTCTTCTCATATGAGCCTCATGTTCTGTCCCAATTCATGTGAAGAGTTCTTCCCTACTTATCTGTAATCATCACCATTCTTCTTGTCAAATTTTAAGTCTTTTATTGAAAAGGAAAGCAAGGGACCCATAAGCATCAGAAGAATGGGACAGAAATACAGGCACTTCCCCAGAAACTGTTAGCCTTCCTTCCAGAAATCTGGAAAGCTGCTTGATGAGTAACAAAGCTGCTCCACCATTTCCAAAAACAACCCTTGCTCCCCCTCAAACATCAAGCTAAGATACAAGAAACTACATCAAGTGCTGCACATACCATACAGTTTAACAGATGCCTTAATTTAATGTTTTTACCATAACACTGCACATGACATCTGTGTGCACCTGGAAGGATTTAAACACATACATAATGCTGCCAGTTTACAGCTGCTCTTGCTTTCTTACCTTGATCATGCACTTCTTAATAAAAAAATTATTCTAAAGCTTCTAAGAAACAATGTTCCTGGTGTCCTTTGAACTACAATACCCTACATAGAGCATGTAAGAATTTAAGCTTTTTTGAAAAAGTAATTTCATAACAGTTATATTTAAATAATCTCTTGAGTATGACACTAAAAATGCTGGAAAACTAGGCAGGGCTATCCAAACTCCAACTATTCTTGCTCATCCCCCTTGCTGCTTTTCTCATGCAGGAAGGAATGCCCCCAGGTCATGCAGTTACCTACAGAGACACTATTTTAAGAGACTCAAAGCCATTTACAGCTTGACCATGCATGAAAAATCCTGAGATAAGTGCCTGCACCAAATAACATTACAATACATTTGTAAAATACCAAAGCTGTCCAAGATTAGAATCAAATTCGAGGACTTCTATCCAGTGCAAAAAACCACTGTCATGAAAACCATATCTCGCTTACAGAATTGACAAGGGACACCACAGACTCAAATGACTACCCTGCCAGCCCAAGCAGTTGATAAGAGCCTAACACAAAAAAGGAATATCACCGTCATGAAATTCTTATCAGTCAGGTTCTATTTCTTTTACCTCAAAAGGAAAATGCAAGACACCTTTACTCCTAAATTGCAGGCCATTAAGAGGTATTTACACACAATCCTGTAAGGCAGTGCTGTTCTCTCCCCCACCAAGGTTCAAGGACGTAGTGCCATAGCGCTGGAAATACACATCTGTGCCTGAAGGTACAACTTGCAGGCAATCACGGCCAGCATTCAGCCCCAGAGCTCGAATGAGCACAGCCGCAACCACATTTCCAGCTACTGTATACCCTGAATACAAGGCACGTCTCACTTATATAGTGAAATTAATTATCCCGATAAGAGCTACAGAACTGAGGGTCTCATTTTTTCCATCTCAGCTTCCATAAATGAAACTAATTTAAATTACAACTATTCAAGAATGATTCCAAATAATTTAAATTGTTCCTGCACAAGTGATTATGTTTAAGGATGGTTATCATTAGGTCCACTGTTTTTGACTAATTTTTCACCTGGATTCACCAAGGCACTGGATGACTAATTGAATAAGGTAAAAAATAATACTGTAATAGCAAGATATTATTTAAGTTATTTCTATATCTTGAAGGTTTGTTTCTGAATCTGTTTGTGAGTAGATTTTTAATTTGTGAAGAGAAAATATTAGTAATTGATGAGAGAACATCTGGCAAGTTATCTCAATCCATACTTTCTCTCACAAAAGATAATACTAATAATAGTAAGAAGGGTTTCAGTCAACTACAGAGCTAGATTTATTTATTTTTAGGAAAACTGACCTAACTGTTCCCTGTAATATAATATTCCAGTACTACCTTTAGCACAGACTTCTACAGAATATTTTGGTGAAAAAAGATATTTCATTTAATGGCTGAAAATAAATAAAACCCTGTTAGGACAGCCAGACTGGCATACACCATCATCTCTACTCATAGGACAGTTTAGAAAACCAAACAAATAAATACTTACCTACTGTTTACTAAATGTTTTTTCCATAAGGATGGATGGATTTTATCAAGTCTCATTCTTACTCAGTTCAACATCAGACACAACGCACCACTGTACTTCAATATGAAGCCCTGCTTGTGGGATATATCCAACCTATGCCCTGGTATATGCTGGGTACAGACTGGATAGGAAGCAGCTCTGCAGAAAAGGAGTCAGGGGTCTTGTGAATAGCAAGCTGGATACAGGTCAGCAGTGTGCCCGTGTTGTAAAAATCCAACTGCACCCTTGTCTGAGTTAACTAAACTGTATCCTGCAGACTGAAAGAAGTAATCATCTCCCTTTACTTGGCATGAGAAACTTTATCTGCAGTACTGTGTCTAGTTTGGGGCCCCTCAATACAATAAAAACGCTGGCATACTGGAACAAGTCCAGTGGGGACATACCGAGGTGATTAGACACTGCAGTATCTGACGCATGAGGGTAAGAGAACTGAGCTTGTTTAGTGTTAAGAGGTAGTGGTGGAGGGAAACCTGATTACTGTCAATATCTAATATGAGGGTATATAGAAGACAGAGCTAGACTGTAAGGTTAGAGGAGGTGGGCAGTAATAAATCAAGTGGTAATGGACACAATCTGTGGCAAGATAAACTTTTATTGGATTGGGGGGGAGGGAATGAGTAAACAAAAAAAACACCCAAAATGAACCAAGCAAAAAAAACAACAAAACGCTGCAGTGAGGGTAACTGCAACAGAGGCTCAGAGAGGAATTTCCATTCTTGGAAATGTACAAAGCTCAACTGGGCAAGGCCCTATACAAGCCAACCTCAGTTAGCTGGGCTTTGAGTACATGTTTGTACCAGATGACCCCTAGAGGTACTTTCCACCCTAAATTGTTCTATAATATTGCGCAAATAGACACGAATTGCTGCTTAGCAGCAAAGGTTAACTCATAGATCCAAAGTTCAAGTTGCAGTCATAGTTCAAGCTGTAGTGAAATTACTCCCAAGTAGTGCTACTTTGCCAAGAAGTGCTTCAATTCTGTAGTCTAAGTTTGGACAATACATATTTGTAACTGAATAGACAGAAGCACAATTTAAAAATAGGGCTACAGAATATGGTGTGGTTTGGCTTCGCCAAGTAGGAGACATGCAAGATGAAGATGAGAAACTGGAGAAACGCTACAGATGAGAACATCTGCTGCAGACCAGGTTGGTCCCCAAGTTTGGCATTCTGACAAACTGGCGAGTTAGCCTAAGAAACCCAAACCATGAAACACCTCAGATTACATGAAAACTTTTTCCTCCAGAGCATTTCACTGTCGGTCCCTTAAAATTAATATATCTATTTTAGTCCTGAACTTTAATACTCTTATCTTTCCAAAAACAGCTGATTTAAATTAAATCTGTGTTTCTAGCAAGACAAGTCCAAGGGAGTTTAATACTAAGCTCTTTCAACTAGCTATCAAAATTAAACTGCATTTCCTTTCATTTGCCAACTAAATTATTAAAAATACATGAAAGAAGGAAGAAAACATTTTTTAAAGGTATTTAAGGCAACTTTTAAGTTGCAGACTTACTGAACAGTCTTTCAGACAAGAGTTTTTTGCATCCACAATGGCCAGACTGTGTGGGAAAAGAAGCCCAAATAACATCAGTAACAAATGAACAGAAAAAGGGCATGAAGAAAACAGTAGGTCAAGATAAGCTTAATAATAATTCTTCACTGCCTGATAACTCTCCTGAGCCCTATTTCACAAATTTAGAAAACACAGGTGTAGGAGTACAGCAAGTCCTAGCTTGCCAGCAAATTTCCTCTAAATCAGTTACTGTATCATTTACTGGACTAAAAACACTGAATGTGTTCCCTTCTTTCATTATGAACACATTATGCTGGAATTTATGACCAAGAATGCTATCCCTGAGAATTACTTCTTGGCGGAGAAACCAAGTAGAGATTTGTTTGGACAAAGCTATTTATATCACATCAGTCTGTGAGCATTTGCCATAAGCATTACTTTCTTTGAGTCTCAATCTAACTAGTATCTTTCTCTCCTGTTCTACAGGAGCACATGCAGTCACATGTCACATATGACTGCCACAAATGGTCCTAATCAACAGAGAGTTTTCATTCACTTCCAGGTAGCATGCCAATATGCCTGCTGCATCTGCAATTTATAAGTATCACTTTTATCTTTAAATAGTACTGGACAGGCTTTTTGTATGGTTGGGGTAGTTTGTTTGGTTTTTTTTAGTTTATTTATTTTAAAAGATATACAACATTAGATGGGATCTGTTTGTCTAAAATAAGTAACTCAGGAAGCAGTGACAGAAGACAGACAGTCTCCACAGGGGTCTCCTGTCTGCCTAACTAAGGCTGCACCTGTATTCTTCCAGTATATGCTGATGATACAATCTACCAACAACACTTGCATTCCAAATGGAAATTAAGACACTCATTGCATTCCCACCTAATATTAATTCATGCAGAATCACTTTTTTTATTTTAAACTTACACAGTGTGACTGATTTCATTCAGCTGATTATTCCCATCCTCAAGTGCAGGACTGAAGAGTTCACATCGTTTCCACCCATCTTCTGTTTTAACCCATCTCCATCCAGGGGACCTCCAGTCTTGGCCCAAAAATGGCATGTTTTCTCTGTAACCAGCAAGAAGATAGTTTGTGTATTACTTAATTGTTAAGAAAAGTTGCAAAGCTTGTCATTATTCTAGTTTTCTATGTAACCTTAGAAAAAATGATTACCTTAAGGAAATAAGGTTATCTGAAGAGCATCCTTTTAAGAAATAGATTCAGTGGTTTCTCAAGTACATTTTTGATTCTGTAACCTCATTTTTCTTGTCTTTCAGCATTTATTCAATCAAGATAAGTTTCCTAGTTCTTTTAGAGAATAAGCAAAAGAATCACAGTAGTCTAGGAAGGGGAGGATACCAAAATGAGCAAAATTGTGTCCTCTGTAATCTGCTCTGCCATGATCAAACAAATCACCAATTTTGAGACCTGACTAATAAATGGTTGTAAAACAGTTTGACAGGGCACAAAAGCAATGTTGCTCCTTTTATTTTTTATAAGACTTATAAATACTGAGTTTGCATTACACTCTATAGTGATGTTTCAGTAAAGGAATTTCCATTTTGCCAAATAATTTTTCAGTTGTTGAGGGTCATCTCCCACACTGGGCTACTAACTGGATACCAGGACAAATGGAGACTGCAACATAAAGTCAATTGTGAAATATCTCCTGAAATTCCTACAAAGAGGACACAATTCATCACAGCTATATCATTCAAACACTGCTCTGCTACCCTTTTTCAAAACAGGGATTCACTTCTGACACTTCACTCCTGAAAAGCAGTCTTCTACACTTTGAAGACTCTAACCTTGCTGGCTTTTGCCACCTTCTTCCCATTCATCATGCATACATGTTGCTCATTATTTTCACTAGATATTTCACATACAAGCTATCCAGGGAAAATGGCATTACCATGTTTGAAACAAATGTTAATATGTAGCACCAACAGCTTTGTTCCTAACATGTACGCATTTTCTAGTATTTTTTTCAACTTGAAAAAATACTAGGCCACATCAGCCAGACATCACTATTAGTTTATCTATCCACTTGCCTTCTTGATTAGCATCTGCCCAACATACTAGTGAGAACACGAGAAGACACAGATACAATAAAAAAGCCTGAAGAAATACAAGTTGAGTGAGCCAGTATTTTAATTAAAAAAACCGCACACCACACAAAACAAAGTGCAGTCGAGCCCTCAGCACTAACTAAAGTCACCTTCCAAATCATAACTTAGTCTCCCTCTGCACCTAATAGGAATATTTTCCAAAATTTACCACATCCTTTCCTCTAGCCACCACAGACTCTATTCATGCCTATCTGCTTTTTCAATCTTTTTACTTCTGAAGAAGAGTAACATGAACCACAACATACTTTCCACCCCCAAGTTGTTTAGAGCTCCCCTCCTGCTGACTGAAGTTAAGGCCTCTTGTCTTTATGATACAACTGTTTTAATAGTTGGTGCTCATGAGAGCCTTTCAGAATAACATACATTGAAGTATTTTTCACTCCTGTCAAGATAAGCAGAATTTACCTGGAAATTTGTTAAATCACCAAAAGAGATTCATAAAAGAGCAGACAGCAACATCACATCATCTTAGACAAACAAACCAGAAGTTTTTGAACTATATATAGAGATACAGAACTCACAATCTATTCCCAGTCAGCAGTTCTGATATAAAAATAAAACACTATTGGAAGTGTATGTCATTACTCAAAAATTAAAATCTAGAGAGAATTCAGAACCACAGAGATAATTATAGGCTGAATGGAATAACTTGGGAAAAAATATTTAAATTATTTCAAGAATACTTACATTGACAACAAATTGTTGAGAAAATAAATGAAAAAACAAGACCACATACTTGCAGCAAGGTGGGAACGTACTGTTAGAATTTAATGGTACAAGTTACAAAAAATGAGGATAAAGAAAAAAGCTTTCTGAAAACAATACAAGAAAACATGGAGATTTTTGTTTAGGTGGGTGGAAGTAGCTGAAGTCCAAAGCTGATCATAATTTACAGAATAGGATGCTTAGTATGCTTCATAAATTTTTAAACTTCAGAAAAAAAAAACCCTGTAGTTTCAAGGTATCAGGCCACCATAAGTGCTATGTATAACTTCCTCCTAGGGAGCTGTACAAGCATTTAAAGTGACATATTTCAACAGTTACTTTCCAGATCTTTACAACCTGAAAAAGTGATGGTCTCTCATTGCAAGGTTTCAATACAGAAAAAAATGTTCTGTCATCCTTCCTCCAAAAAATTACATTAAGTGTTTTCAAAATAACAACGCTATCAGGAAGTGCACGCACACAAAGACTGATGTTGGAAGTAGACTGATGTCTACTCCAGAAATCCTGGAAAGCCACACTTAAGACCAGAAGCTCATAGGGACATGAATGACTTCTGTGTATGCATGATATATTCAGCACATTTTCTTTCTAAGAGAAAAAAATAAAAAGGTATTCGAAAAATCACAGATTACTTTAGGTTCTTTAAAATTCCTTCAACATTTGTGGAGACTGCAAAAAGTAATTTTGTGTGGTTGGTACACATTAGTTTTTTTTCCCCCGCTCCCAAAGGAACAGATATTCTCAGTCCAAGACACAGTTTCATTATTCTACCAGCTAAGAGTACATTCATCAGTAGCAAACTCACAAAATGGCCTGTACTCCTGCTCAAAGGTTGTAGCTCATAGAGTCAGAAATGTAAGAGTATTCTTTTAACAGTCCACATTCAACTAGAAAAAAAAAATCCAACTGCAAAGTAAGTGACCAAATTTTCAGAAGCTGCAGGGTATCATTAACATCTCTCCTCCGCATCCCTCTCATATGAGAAGTGATCATAGAATGTGACTGCTCGGACAGGTACAGCTTAGTACAGTTTGAGATTACAGTAACTGCTCCAGCCATGCTTGTACTTGTAAGGGAGTTCTCCTTTCCATGAAGTAGATAACTCGTCACATGAGAAAAAATCACAGCAAAGCCACTCAGAATTGCAGCAAGTCATCCTATTACTCTGCCACTATACTGGAGATCTCATCTCTCTCTATACTCCTATACTTAAGAACATGTGGTTATGACCCAAACCATTCTTATTATTCAGCAGCAAGACAGTTGCCAACATGATGGCGACAGACAAGTGTGGAATGTGAAGGACAAGGCTCACGTGGGAGTGTTGGATGGAGAATAACAAGCACAGAGGCTCAGCACTGTGTTTATCTTGTGCTAATAAGCACTAGTTGTCTAGCACTGAATCAACCAAGTGACACCTGGGGTGAGGGGGAGGCCTCACAGTGCAATGTTACTTTGGTGAAGCTAAGCAGACCACTTTCAATTGCCTCCTTTGTTCTTCCTCACCCCTTGATCAAACGCATAACGAGCACTGTCAAGGGCTATCCAACATACAGAAATTGAGTTAAGTCCCACCTCGCCAAGAATATAAATCTGGCATTTAGAATCCTCTTCTTTGGGGAGGAAGGCAATAACACCAACCATCAGATGGGTTGATGAGCCTGGACATCTCTTCCCCCCCAGCCTGAGCAGGAAT